TTTTTATTCATTTTAGGAAAGCATGCCTCAGACTCCTCCCTTTTCAGCAATGTTTGACAGCAGTGGTTACAACCGAAACCTCTATCAGTCTGCAGATGACAGCTGCGGAGGGTTGTATTACCACGACAACAACCTCCTCTCTGGGTCTCTGGAAGCACTCATCCAGCACTTAGTACCTAATGTGGATTACTATCCGGATGTAGGTATTGCTGTTACTGTGAAACACATCCTTGGTATTCTTCAGAAAAAATACACTGTAGCAGGCAGGGACCCTAGATACTACTGAATTATATCTGGGTTGCCGAGAATTTTTCGAATAAGAAACTGCATATTGATTACTGAGTATTTTGAGATCAAACTGAGCCTGGGTATGATCCAGGTTTTGATTATTGTCTGCAGTTTGGTTTCTATTCAGGGTTGGTACCACACTGTAGGCAGTCAGATACCATGTAAATGAAGTATCTATCTGTAGCTTTAATCCATGCATATACCTTGGTCCTTGCATAGACATGCTAGAGGATGTTGGATACTCCCAGAATATTTAATGCCTTTTTGGTTTCCAGACCCATCGCTATGCTGAGAAAAGTGAAGTTCATAGGCGGAAAAACTTCATAGAAAGGAGAACAAGAGTTATATTCAAGATGCAATTCTTTATAGATTGCTAATATTTTACTTCGATAGCCAACATTTATATAGATAACACTTTCTATCTAAGGAATCCACTTACATTTTCTCAGCCTTTACAGCAATTCCAGGAGGTCAGGGAGGAGGACACTGAAATTCAGAACGTTGAGTAATCCACACACAGCCTCAACCCCTATCCGCAGTCAAACCTAGATTTTCTGTTTCTGGGCAAGCGGTGTTCCTGCCCCCCCTCCCCCTTCCTTGTGCTACAGCTGCCCCTGTTACTCAACAACAGCTGATTGTTGATAAAGATTGCATGAAAATATCTAGACACTAGATTCATGTTTTTACAAATATAATAATGACCTTGGTGTGTGAAGGATAGTTTGTGCTTGCCACTGTAATTCACCATAGTGTTCCCTCTTGAGTTCTCTCTCTGTGTGTGACTTGTTACATAGCATTTTGAAATATGTTGCCACACAGGGAAAACTTGTAATCAAAAGTAAAAGGAATCCGTTGTTCAGTCGTGTAAGTGTTTATGAGCTACTAAAGGCGCCTAAGGGGGGTAAAAAAAAAAAAGAAAAAAAAAACCTGGAATTTTTCTTTTCACTGGGAGGCTGAAACTATTATAATAAATAAGCTCTACTTCATTACTGGCTTCTTGGGAGACAATGTAGTTAAAGAAAAGTATATAGTGTGATACTGTGTTTTATCAAATTGCTTAGCTTTTGGGCAAGGAAATAGATCACTTGCAAGCCCACCTTTGAATGTTCTGGCACAAGCATACAAACACTACATTGTGCCACCCTGGATGCACTGGAGAGTTCTTGAGCTGATGTGGGTTGGTGGGTTTTTTTTTTGGTTTCCATTGAGTTACCATAACATTTGGACCCAGAACAAGATTCTGTATGGGTGGTATATTTAAGTTAGATCTCTTTCTCTGCGCTGAAGTTCATTCCTCTTTACTAAAATGAGTTAGGTGTCCTGGTATACTGACTCCAGAGGCTGGACATGAAAATGTGCTTTGAATAATTTCGGTAGATAAACTTACCTTGTACTTCTGGGTTTTTTGGTGTAGTTGAAGGGAAGAGATACATCAGAAGGCAAAGGAAAAATCCATCGTCAGGTGTTTTACTGCTAAGCATTACTTTTGAAATGGTAGTATATTAACTTTGACCCAGAGAATTTAATGGATTAAGATGTATCATATATGGGAAAGATACTAGTTTCGTGGAGAATGTAACCGTGATGATTTTTTTTCTCTCTTGCCACAGAGAACATACATATTTACCTTCCTACTCAGTTCTCGGTTATTTATGCATCCATACGAGTTAATGGCCAAGGTTTGCCACTTATGTGTTGAACACCAGAGACTAAGTGATCCTAATAGCGATAAGGTAATGATATATTTTGAACTTTACAGTTTTCTCTATTAGTATGCTTTCTCTTTTCTATTTCTATTAGGATTGGTAACTGTGTGGCTTAGATTTTGTGAAGTTGGTTTCCTTATCTGCAGGCTGAGGGGCATGCATGGTATCATGGCTGTGCAAAGGGAATTGGGAATGGTATAAAGGACACAATATAGGGTAGGACGCCAGAATTATTAGTGTTCATTTCCATCTAAGATCTTTATTTTTCTACCAGTCTTGGTCCTATTGAAACATTTCAGTATATAAAAATACTGCCATGTTAATACCCGGGAGAAAAGCCATCATAATGTGTTTGCTGGTCATTATGAGCAGTATGGTACAGTTTTTTTAAGATAAACTGTCATGCCCTTCATGTCAAACAAACAAACAAAACCCCACAATATAAATCTAATGCCATGGAAGACCCCTAGATCCTGCCTTAAGTTGGTGGTACTTGGCATTGACTTAGGGGAGGGGGACTAGACTTCTTCTTTAACCCTAAAGACTTTGCACTAGAAGTTTACCAGTGAAACTGTTTGCAATTATGTGTTTGATGCAGTCCATGGTGATAGACATCACTCAGTGAGATTTGCTTTTTCTCCCCAGAACCAGATAAGAAAAATTGCACCCAAAATCCTTCAACTCCTGACAGAATGGACGGAAACGTTTCCTTATGATTTTCGGGATGAAAGAATGATGAGAAACTTAAAAGATCTGGCTCACCGAATAGCCAGTGGCGAGGAGGTTGGTATCCTGTATCTAGCAAAACCACTCAAATTTCCAGGCCAAGCCTTGGTGGGAGCTGATGCTGAATTATGCATCAGACTCTCCACTGCTTCCTTTCTGTGTTGCCTTTGGGCACGTCTTCGACCTAGCACAGTGGTCTGTTTGGTGTGTCAAATGGGGATGATTGTACAATCCCACTTCAAAGGGACATCATCTGGAGTTTTATGTGATTAATTTGGAGGTATGTTCATGTCCCTTCATGCACAGGATTCACACTGCAAGTGTGTTTTAGTTTTACTTATACTTTTCTTCCTTCTAAAAAAATTTGACATAGCAAGTTAGACATAAACACAAATAGGTATAAAATAAATAACCTAGGAATATATTAACAGATAATAAGTTGTACCGTGGAAGGAAGAAAACAAATAGGCTAGTGTTGAGAAGCAGTGTAGTAGGACAGGACTGCTGTGATTTGAGTGTAAACTTCAAGTAAAAGAGAGATACAGTTGGTTATGAAATGTTCACGGTCAGAAAAGAGAGAGCGTACTAATTTTTCAGGGCATTAAATTAAATGAAATTTTAAAAACTTTATTTTTTTAAATGCCTATTTATTTTTGAGAGACAGAGCGTGAGCAGGGGTGGGGCCGAGAGAGAGGGAGACACAGAATCCGAAGCAGGCTCCAGGCTCCGAGCTGTCAGCACAGAGCCCGACGCGGGGCTTGAACTCACGGACCACGAGATCATGATCTGAGCTGAAGTTAGACGCTTAACCGACTGAGCCACCCAGGCGCCCTAAAAACTTTCTTATGGAGGAGTTTATATAGGGGGCATAGAATGAGATCAGGGAAACGGCTTCATATGGTTTTTATAACAAATGCTCCTCAATGAAAACTGAGGCTATAAGATTAATGTATAATTAGCAAAGGTCATTCTTTGGTAGAGGAGAAGACAAAGAGAAAAAGATACAAGTCTTCTGGTGCCCGGAAGCGGATTCAAGGCTAGCACCTAGGATAGGTAGAAAAAGAAAGTAAGTAAGGTTCTTGGATAATCTTTCATAAATATCACTACCCTCAATTGAGCCTTTGATAAGAGCTCATTCGCTGTGAAAGATTCGAGGTGATCCTCTTTGAAGCAAGCCTGCAGGGCTGATATTTTGTGTTGAGGCTTGTTGGGCAAGGATGTCTTTGTAGTTTCTGTGCTGCCAGTGAGCTCTTGGGAACAAGTGACCTAGGCACAGACACCACACTTCTGCCTAGGAAAAGACTGACAAAGCATTTGGCAGTTGCAGAGATGTCTTGTTTCATTTGTCTTAAAATGCATTTTTCCATGACAAATGACCTTCCTTGAGAACTCATTCTTTCAGTGGTATGCTATAAAGATCACGTAACATGATACCCTGTCTGTTCTCTCTACTTCGGGGTGAATCTATTTTAATACCATTTCCCCCAACTTAAAAAATTATATAAGATTTGCAGTTGACAAATTTGTACTTGCTTCCCTGCAGTTATGCCCTCATGAAAATGGAATTAACCCTTTTACCCTTCCCTTATGACATTATATTGAACCCTGGTGCTCAAGACAGCCATGATTTATTTCTGTAAGGCTGAACGAGTGGTTTCCTGAGTCGTTTTGCAAGTTATGACTGTTACCATCATTTTGCCAGTTTGCATGTAACAGGTTCTAGCAAGGTATGAATTGGTAGGTCCTTCACTCACAAAGGCAAAAGTTAACAAGTTAACTATCACCGGGCAGTTTTGTAGTAAATCTTACATTAGTGGGGTTATCTGTTGGGTTGCTAGGCAGAATCAATCCTGGCTCAGTAAACTTAGCTTATGACAAGATGCTCAAAAGATTAGTGGCATCGTAAGGACTTTTTCTTGTATGAAGGCTGAGTCTTGAGTTAGTGCTTTATTTTAGCTAAGTTGTATTTAGGTACTTAACTTGATAGGTCAGTCAACTTACCTTCCCTCTACTGCCTTTTTAGAAAGTAGAAATGGTTGCTTGATCCTCTCCAAAGGAAAACCTTAAAAATCTTCTTCAGATAAGGAGTCAGTGTTCTGAGAACTCCAGATGAGTGGCCTTTTGTTTTTCTCGTCATGGTAGTCAGTGAGGGAGATCATTTCTATCAGTGTTGGCCAGATTGGATCCAGTCTTTTTTTTTTTTTTTTTTTTTTTTAAACAGGATCAAGGCACTCAGGGGTCGGGTGGGACCAAAAAGGGCCAAACAGCCTTCTAACCTGGCTTCTTATCAGCACTCCTACGTTAATAGCAAATCCATGATAAACCTTGAGATTTTCCCATGGTTTTGAGTGTGAAAAGAGGAGACAGGAAGCTAAACCAAATCAAACCAAGGAATTGATTAACCTGGGGTTGAGCAGACCAGTGCCACCTGCCTTGGTCAGGTTGGGTTTTACAGTGACCTGTTGTTCCTGTGGCTACTTGAGGCCAGTGTTCTGAATCAGGTCCACACTTGGCAGCTGGCTGATGTGAGTATGCTTTGGCAAGTTCTCTAAATTCCTTGCTTCTTTTTCATTTCTATAAATCATGGAGGTAACTGCCCTGTGTTAATGTCCCTGTCAGCTCAAAAATTCTGTGATAGATGCTCTTTCCTCAGGTCTTTGCTTGGGAGGCCACATATCTGTTATGTGCTTAAGTGTCCGTCCTCAGAGAGACCTACCCTCACCACCCCAACCACCATCCCTCTCAACCCCTCTCATTACTGGCTTTCACCACTGTTTTCTCCATAACACTCTGTGACTAGTAATTACTTCATTTTTTTTTGTGACTTGTTTTTCCTGACTCCTTGCTGTGCCCCCTTGGTTTGTCCTAGCTCAGTGCCTGGCATTTAATAGGTATTCAGTAGTGTTTGAATGAATGAATGAAGAGATGAACGAACAGACTAACCAGGTACTGGAATAGGAAAAAAAAAAATATTTCCCTCCCCAGGAAGGAGTGTGGAGTTGGGTTGAGACTTGTTGCTTCTTGCCTGGGACTTTAGGGATTTTTTTTTTGGCAGTCAATGAATCCAGGTGTGCCCTATATATAATTTTGTCGGGTTCTGCTGAATCTGCTAGGACACTTCTGCATAATTTGGCTTAATATGTTTCCCCCTGGGGATTTGCCCAAAATGAAGTGGTTTATTAGGACTTGCCTGCAAGAAACATGAAATGGAGCTAATGATTGAATTACATGACAAATGGCTATAGTGGGTAAAATGCAATTTTCTCTTCCTTAAGGGGCTGGTCTTTATTCTATCTTTATTTGCCAGGTAATTACTGTCACTGGCATTTGAAGTTATAAAAAAGAATAAGTGCATATTTAGCAATTCATGACTCAGTAAGGAAGCATGCTTAACAACACAAAGCTTGGAATGGAATCAAATGGCAGCAGGAAACTTAAAAGATGTCATACATACATACTCTTTCTCTGCGTGTCTCTCTGTCTCTCTCAAACACAGCTCTACCCTATAGCCTGTCATATGTGTTTTCCCCTTACAGTTTGCTGTTTTTAGCTCACTAGCTGAATCCTTGACTATATATCCCTCTACTTCTCCCCCCCCCCAAAAAAAAACACTTTTTAAAGTGTAAAATAAGAATCTTTCACCAGATATGCTAGTAGAACATTGATTCTGAATCTTTGCTACATATCAGAATCACTGGGAACATTTATTATGATATTGGGACAGGGGACTAAAGAAACCATTTTGAGTTCATAGATTTTTAATGTAACTCATGATTATGAAAGTAGAAGGGCAAGGGAAATAAGGACAAGGGATTTATTATATTTTTGTTTTGTTTTTATTGAGGTATAATTGACATACAACATTAGTTTCAGATGTACAACATCATGATTCGATATTTGTGTATATTGTGAAATGATCACATTCTGTCTAATTGACACCCATCAGCACACATAGTTACAGAATTTATTTTTCCTTGTAGTGAGAACTTTAAGATTCATTCTCTAAGCAACTTTTTAAAAAAATGTTTGTTTTTGAGAGAGAGACAGAGTGTGAACGTGGGAGGAGCAGAGAAAGAGAGAGACACAGAATTTGAAGCAGGATCCAGGCTCTGAGCTGTCAGCACAGAGCCCGATGAGGGGCGTGAGCTCACGCACCGTGAGATCATGACCTGAGCTGAAGTCAGACACTTAACCGTCTGAGCCACCCGGGTGTCCCTCTGAGCAACTTTCAAATGTGCAATACAGTATTATTAACTACAGTCACATGCTGTAATTAACACCCCTAGGACTTACTTATTTTATAACTAGAAGTTTGTACCTTTTGGCCACCTTCACCCATTTGCCCCTACTTCACCTCTCATGAGGGATATAAAATAGCCCTTGATTCAACCTTGAACTGCTTCCGATTCCAAAGAAAAAGGCATTTTCTTCGAGTGACAACCATATTACCAAATAGATAGCATCTTCTAAACTGATAACCGTAATGCTGTGTGGAAGATAGGTTTTTTGAAGGTTCAATTTTTTGAACACTTAGGGATTTCATTAATGATTTAGGGTGTCCTGTGAATGTAGAGAGTAAAAAAAAAAGGTCATCTAGTGGACCAGTTTAAGGAACTGAGTGGAATATACACCAGACAAGCAGAGAAGAAGAAAAGAAAAAGAAGGCTGTGCATGCTTTTTGGCCTTGCCTGAATAAGAATCGATCATTTCCAGATGCATTTGTAATTGTCCTTACGTATGCAAATACCTATTCATCTGAGTTTTTGTGACTTTTGCTCTGGTAAACCAAATTGCCTTTGTAAAATAATATGGCTCTTATACTTGTAGGTGAGATGCCATTCAGTTTTCAAATAATTAATTTCAGAAAGTAACATTGTAGTACCTTTTAAAAAGGGGCTAAGCATGGAGCATGATAACCACAGGCCTTTCTAACATCTAAATTCCCTGTCCTACTTTGGAGGTGTTAAGGACCGCGTTAGCATATGTACCTTTCTCTGGTAATTTACCTTCAAGGATGCTTGTCATTTGTTTGGCAATTTGGGGCTAGAAAAGGAAGAATGAAAGAAGTCCATAACTTACATCATGATAATAGTACCTTAGGATGGATAGGTTGTGAAGTTATTTCTTTGACTTAATGAGTGTTTTGAAAATCAAGAGAATGACGTTTATCTCTAATACGTACATTGTTTTAAAAACCAGTTCCTCTTAAGTGTTGTGGCAGTAGCATGATGCAGTAGCAAACAAGGTGGCTGAGGGTAATAGCGGGCAGCGGTGGCGGGGGGGGGACTGCCATGTGGAAGACTTGGGTCGTGAACATTAGCACTGACTCACGAATGCAAAAGAAATGGACATGAGTCAAATGGACGTCAGATACGAAAAATGAGTATCCACTTCCTAGTAATCCATGTTACACGTGGAAGTCAAGAAGGTGGTTGGGGGGTGAGTGGGAAGTAATGGTACTCTCTGTCAGGTTGCTGTCTGTGCTCCTAGACTAATGAGATTGGGCATGATAGGAGTGCAGAAATCAGAAAGGTGACCGTAAAGAAAAAGTGTTAGGAAAAGGATGCTCTGAGTCGAGATCAATGTATTTTAACCAAAAGTAAGCAATACATTCCCGTGCCAGCCCAGAGAGCATTTAGTCGTATACGGTCGCTAATCTAAGATATCACTGTGGGGCTTTCATAGCCTCACCTAAATTGTACTTTCAAGAGCAGGCTGAGAGAAGAACTAAATCTTACAGGTCTGAAAAGATTTAGTTACGTGTCTCTCGTAAACTGTTAGAGCTGGGCCGAAGCCTCCTGTAACTGGCCTGGTGGCTGTCCAACATCCAGGGAAAAACACTTAAGTACATAGGCTCTGAGTTTGCACAGCGGTGAAAATAGACTTGCAGAACAGGGATGTAATCCTTTGCTTGTTCCCTGACAGACATACAGGAAGAATGTCCAGCAGATGATCCAGTGTCTGATCCGCAAACTTGCCACACTCAGCCAGTACGAGGAAGTCCTGGCAAAAATCAGCTCCACATCTACAGATCGGCTCACGGTTCTCAAGACCAAACCACAGTCCATACAGAGGGACATCATTACTGTCTGCAGTGACCCTTACACCTTGGCCCAGCAGCTGACTCACATAGAGCTGGTAAGGTCGTTGTCTACCCTGCCCTTTGCGACCGCAGATCTGGTTTGCTGTGGCAACCACACAAGTTGTTTGTCAGCGGTAATGTCATAGGAGAGGCTAGAATAATCCAAATGGGAAATAATCTGTGAAGTAGCTGGAATATGTGTGGCTTAGACATTTGAGATGAATGTTTCTGACTTTCTGGGAATTCACTTTAAAATAAATACTAAGCAAGACTGAAGAGTTTATTGAACTTCCTCATCTTCCCCCTCTACTTTTCCATAACCTGCTCAGCCTTTCACTATCTTGCATAGCACTGACCTAAGAAAATTGTCTCTGCTCAGATCTTGAAGATGATGACAACATTTAGGGTTAAAGGCTCATTTTTTTTTTTAATTTTTTTTTCAACGTTTATTTATTTTTGAGACAGAGAGAGACAGAGCATGAACGGGGGAGGGGCAGAGAGAGAGGGAGACACAGAATCGGAAACAGGCTCCAGGCTCTGAGCCATCAGCCCAGAGTAAAGGCTCATTTTACAAGCTGCATAAAAAGTGGGGGCGGTGCCAAAAG